TTGTGGCCTTGTGTAAAGCGGAGGCAGGACACCTCAAAAATCAACCCCCTGCTTTGCATGTACCATAATATACCATATTATACCATGATATACTGTATCTTCTGGACTGGGTACTGACCCTCACACCTGAACTAGCCCGGTACAGTAGGCCTTCGGAGTAGCCGAGCTCTCTCAGTCCACGAAACAGTGCTGCTTTGTCGGACTCCTGGGGTCTGGGCGAAGGTACCCAAGGGCTCCTAAATATTTCATTTTTGGGTTTGTTATGGTGTTTTGGTGAGGGATTATACTATAGTCACCCAAAAGGAACTACATAGGAGGGTGTGGGTAGACCCCTAATGAATAAACCCCCTCCCGTTAATGGGGATGATAATCGGGAATGTTAAGGCCCGTTTATTAATCATGGGTCTACATTACCTTAAACACTAAACCCTAAATAGTAGTTTCCATTTCTTTTTCCATTATCCCCACATACCCTCTATGTAACCCCCAATATAATAACCTCTAGTGTCTACATTATCAGCCATTCAGGGCTTCAAGCATACGGCTCGCCAGCCCAACACTTAGCCGCTCAACTCTAAACTACACAGAGGGCTTTAGGGTTTGGGGTTTAGGCTTTAGGGTTTAGGATTTAGGGTTCAGGGTTTAGGGTTTGAGGTTAAAGACTTTAAGTCAAAACACCTTAAAGGTTTACGTGCCTGCCATACTGCAAGATGAAAAATTAATTCCAGATCCCAGAAGACTGTGCTTCGGGTTTTCTGGTGCAGGCCCTGAGGCCTTAACCACCAATCTTAGACCGAAGCCCTCGGCCGCAGAACGGTTTCTTCTTCATCCGAGAAATCACATGGGGTTTCCCAAATTAGGGGCCCCTTTCGGGGAATCCCTACATGAAGGAGTTATAATGTGTTGGGGTCCAAATTGGGGTCCCTGTTTCTGGAAACCTCCATGTTTGGAACGAGCTTGTGTACCTATACAAGGGGTTGCATGGTCTAGTTTTCCGTCATTCCTCTGCTGCACCCCCCCAAACTCAAGGCATTTCACACAGTCACCATCCTCTTCCTGAAAAGCAACATGCCAAGCCCAAGCCAAGAGGCCACATCTTTGAGGATATTCTCTGTTTTTGTGTGGTACATATCCTTCGTTCTAGTCAAGATCGATGGTTTCAAGCTGCCGCCCAAAGGCCAAATACTACATGCTACTACCTGTTAGGGCCCAACAGCTAGTGAAAGCCCTTGACAGCTGCTTGACTTTGTTTCCGGGAGGCTCCCACACGGCTCAAGCCTGTCATCCCTACAGGTTACCCTAAACCCTTAACCACAAATCAGACGCGCGGGACCCCGGCTCCGACTGATCAGCGTAGCAACTGGAATTCAATCTGTCAATCTGAAGAAGAAGATCGCATGATCATTTACCCTTGTGACCTGTCTTCCCCACCCCAGCGCACGTTCGCGTAACCAAGATGATGAAGCTGCACAGGCTATCAAAGTTGGCTATGCCGCGAGTGCCTGGAAGGTGTTGACCTGCCCGGTGCCCTGCATGAAGCAAATCGAATGCCGTGATCATTTAAAAGCAGACCACACAACTCCTGAGAAAAAAGTTGAGCCTTGGGGATCTCAGCCCTAAACCCTCAACCAAAACCTTAACCTTCAAATATCGAAACATACACCCCCAGACCAAAAGCAAACTAAGCCGCTCGACCCGCCCTAAACCCCAAATCCTGAACCCCAAGCAAATACCCCGAAGCCAGCTCCTCCTTGCCTGTGTCGCTGAGAAGTCGAAGACTTTGCTCCGTATTTTGGAAAAGCTGCCTGGCGCGTGGTGCGTGTGGTGTAGTGTCAAGAAGGCGGTTGGGCGTTAGGATTCAAATCTGTTTAGGGTTAAGGGTCTTACTTAGACCTCCCCACAAGGCCGTTAAAAGCAGCTCCTGTGGTAGTTTCCCTGACAGGCTACTTCAATATAGAGTTCCTTATTATGACCCCCAGAGGGGCACCCCTAATTTTGGCAAATCCCCATACCCTCATTCCTGGTTGCAGGCCCATACTATTGCTTGCCAGGCCCCAGGTGTGGTGTTGCTTGCTCGTCGGGCATTTTGGAGTAGGGTATTTTACAGTATGGACCATCTTGGGGAGTACAGGGGGGGTTGCCAAAATTGTGATCCTTTCTTCTGTACGTTTTTCTTCGGGATTCGCAAAGGACCATGATTTTGACATCCTACCAGTCCTACCATGTAGCGCAGGCGGGAGGCCCAGGACTTTCAGCTCACCAAGTGGATTTGTAGATCAGGAGAAGCGACTGCGACTCAACAAGCACTTCCAGGAGGAGTGGGTTTGAGCAGGTGTGCTTTTTGAGTGAACGGATTTCATGAATTGGTAATGAAAAGATCTAGGGTCTTGGGGATGGGACTACTTGGCACTTACGACCCCTACTGAGGATTAACCCTTAAGCATGTATAGGAGTATAAGGGCATCCCAAACGGTTCAGGGTCTCAGGTCCAAGCTAAGTCCCAAGAAGTTAATTGGGGCGAGGACTTGCTGCAGAGAGTTTAGGGGTTTAGGGGTTTGGGGTTGAGGGTTTGGGGTTCAGGGTTTGGGGTTTAGAGTTTGAGGTTTAGAGTTTGGGGTTTAGGGTTTAGGTGGGGTATTTCCCTGCATCAGCACTGTCACGGGCAAATGCTGTCGCTAGTTCTTGTTTCTTGGGGCGGTTCTTGAACTAAACTCCTAGTACCTCCCTTAATAGCCCCTAAAATAATCCTCCTAGACAACCCCCTTTAAGCCATATTTCATTTGGGTTCCAGTTGTTGGGATGGGAGTGGCGCTGGACATGCCAGAAATTATACTCTGGAGCCTGCTCCGAGCCGTTGTCCGGTACTTAAAGGCGAAACAAGTCAAGCATCATAGGGTTTACCAAAGGGCTCCTATGTAGTTCCTTTTTGGGTTTGTTATGTTTTTTGCTAAAGGATTATATTATAGTATCCCAAAAAGAACTACATAGGAGGGTTTGGGTAGGCTTCGAACGGCCACCACGTCTGCCCAATTCAAGCTGGACGTCCTCGCCACCACCCTTAGCCAAAGCCCTCCTGAAGCACAACAACCGCTAGGCTCCAGCAACTGACTGGAGAACTCCTGTAGAAGCCTGCACAGTCAGGAAGCTTGCGCAGTTTGAACCTTGTCCCGTGAGAATCCTCGTATGAGCATTCGTCTGACAAATTTGATGGCTGTAGTGTTCGTATCATGGAGGGGATCGCTCTTTCAGGCCAGGTTGATCATTGATAACGAGAGTGTCGCTTTACGAGGTATCGGGATTTCATGACCCTCAGATGTAATCTCCTGTAGAGGAGTCTTGACATCTGCTTCATTTGGTATAATGTTACCACATTCTGAGTGTGAGTTTCCTGCATTGCCGTACATTCCAATACTTGAGATACTCTGGAAAATGCCATTCCCCCGGAATTGTAATTACTCTTGGCCCCCTCCGGATGTAACACCACCTTATCCCCTGCCAGCAAGATGACAACCTCCTGAAATCGGCACCTAGTGAAGGCACATACTAGGACAATAACCCTAATTTTCCAAGGACCCAAATAATAGGGCTTTATAAAGGGCCCAAATACTATAGCGTTAGTGGTATTTGGGCCCTGAACCCTTACTATTTGGGTCCGTGGATCCTTAGGGTAAAGAAAAGCCTACATCGTGTGATTAGTCAACAGCGCAGGTCAATCAGCTCTGACTCAACTTTTCTTCCTTCGACCGAGTCTCAGAGCTGTACAGAGCGCACAGGTAGTGCCTGATGACCCGACTGTTGCAGCTAAGACCAGCTGCATAAGGCCCGTGGTGACGGATTTGGGCTTGCAGTTGCTATCGCAGGGTTGCAGCTGCAGATTATTGGAACAACACAATCGGATATCTGGGAATGGTCTAGGCGGTCGAGTACTTGGAAGGTAAGAGGGTCTCTCAGTCCAGAAGCTCCTGATATTTCCTGGTCCGCTGCAAACGAGACAGCCCGGAAACCTTCTGCCTCTTGGACGCTGATGCTCCGAATGATCGTTGTAAGGGCTGAGGGACCCAGAACCCTATAGGCTTCTCGCCGTACATGAGCTTGCAAAGAGAGGGAGGCTATAGCTGGGTAGCTGGGCTGTAACAATGCTGCACCGGCTTGAAAACCTCTACAATAAATCAAGGACATAAAGTGACACCTCCAGCAACGATCGGAGAGGGGTGCAGGAATTGTGTAGTCCAAGTAACTCACTATTGATTGAGGGAGTTCAGGAGAGGATCTCTAGACTGATTTCTATATAATCCCCATGTATGGTCACGCGCTTGGTGGCCTCACCCCCCATCCCCCCCATGGTGGCTGCTCCTTCCACCTGTGAGTGTGGTTGGGGGTGGCCCTCCCCCTCTGTGGACTGGTTGGGGTTGGGTGGGATGGAGAGACATGACTTGAGGTCTTCCACTCCCTCCTATGGGTGTGGGTGGGTGGGGGTCTCTCAAATCGGGGAATTACGTAGGCCATTTGTAAGTTCATATGGTTCGGGGATGACACAAGATGTCTACATGATTAACCAGGATTTCCTATAGATGTGTAGATATAGAGATGGGTTATCATTCCTATGCAGCCTATGCAGCGTTTCTGTGGTTTTCAGAGGGTCGTAGAAGTACCCAGAAGCTATTCATGGTGGAATATTTCAAACGTTCAAGTACCAAAAAGTACCACAGTCCCAAGGATCGTGCCCCAAAATGGCCCATACCTGTAACTGTCGGCATGTTTGGAATCTTATACACAGAGTCAGACTCCCAACCTGACGACAGTTACGAAGATGGCCCCTTCCAAACACCCAATCCCTGTGATTGCTGGCACTTTTGAAAGGGCAAAACATGACAACAATCACGGAGATTCCGCGCTTTCACACCCGCCCCCCGCCCACCAATATTCACTACCCCACTCCCCTTCAGCACCAGGGATGTAATTGAGGCTTCTCCCAAAACCCTAAACCCTAAAACGCCCTGTCACCAATGCAGAGCCTCCCCTTTGCTGGCATCGAGCAAAGCCCCGGTAAGAGCTTCGAGGTTGGCGGGTGGTGCTTCTTCCAAGGATGGCTTGCGCAACTCAACATGATCCCAAGGGGTGTCCTAAGCTTGTTAGTTTAGGGTTTAGGGTTTGGGGCTTGGGGTTTAGGGTTTGGGGCTTAGGGGCGGAAACTTGAAGGCAGCAAGAGCAAGACGAGACTTCGTACCTTTCTCTTTTGAGCCCAAGGAGGCCCCTCAGACTTGTTAAAGAGCTCTGCGCGACCCTGGCCTCCTATGCACATCTGCCTGATAAGGCTTCACAGCTTCTCATGGTCTATGTACCTATATGGTAGTTTCCCAAAAAAGGGGACCCCAATATAGACCCCAAAATACTATAGCCCGTATTTAGGGACCCCCCAAAAAAGGCACCCCTAATTTTGGGAAACCCCCATATACCACAGATGCGGGAATTTGGGTTGGCCGCTTAAGACTAAGGCAGCCTACAGGCTCAGTACACGCAAGCTTCCTCTTGCCAACAACATTTAGTTTCTGAGTAGGAAATATACTCCTTGTGGCAATCCCCTAAACCATATATATTCCCTACTGACCCTAAACCCTATATATTCCCATTGTTTCCTACTAACCCCAAACCCTGAGCCCGAAAACCTACAGGCTAGCCTGAATCTGCAAGTCCACAGGTTTCGGGAAGGAGCAAAACCTTTCAAACACGCGCCGCGGGTCCATTTGAGTGATGACGTAGAGGGGCTTTTCACCGGGGATTTCACAGGCGCCCTGCACGCGTCCATCCAAATCGAATGCCACCACCCTTTTGTCCACATCCACCAGCATGCCGATCCTGCAGAATTTGCATCTGAACGGGGGATCGCAGCTCGAAACACAATTAAACAACAAGTTCATATCTCTAGCCAACGTAGACGGAGGCCAAAAAGCGTATATGCCCTGCGTGACCCCATCATTCCACATACAGTATATAACCCCTGAGAAGCTGTTGAAACAAAACGCCGAGCATCACATTTCCTGGGTCGCAAGCCTTTTCGAACTCAGCGACGGCTGTCTTACAGGCGTGCAGGCCTTAGTAGCCATGTGCTTTGCGCGTGGCTCAAAATCTTTACGGCCATGCGCTGGTGATCTGGGAACCCAGGAGATCGACTCACTCGTCTTCATACCGAGTCTGTAGAAGAAACCGACAACCTCTGGCTGCCTGTTTTCGTACATGGATCCGGAGGTGACTTTTCTTGTGCCAGGTAACCCGATGTAACCCTGTTCGCGCCACGCGAAGGCCTAGTTTTTCAGGCTCTAAGCTTCCACGAGAGGATCATCCTGCCTAATTTCCTCTTCGTTTGGGTAAGGAGTATAGTAGCCTCCCAAAAATCAGAGTTATCTGCACTTGGCAGGCTGGGGGCCGCTCGCTTTGGGATTCATGCTGGTTTCCTGAAGTTAAAAACAGCTGGGCCATGTTCAGCTAACCGTATGACAACATGTATACCGCACTTCTCAGCGTACTTCTAACGAAAGGGAGTATAGACAAGCTTCATAATGCGGTGACGCATGGCCTCGTCTGCCCAAAGCTACTAGAAGGACATTGGGGTTCCAATTTGGCGGGCCCCCGTTTGTAAATGTATCTACAGCAAGGGGGAGGGTGCAGAGAAATCGTCCTTCGACACTCCCTTGTACCGCCAAGTGGCGCATTTGGGTATGCGCTGCTGGCTCCCGCACTTCAGCACAGGCTGAGACTCTCTTTGAAAAGTTTGATGTCTTCTTGTCCAACTGCCACCATCCGCCCGTGATGCAAAATAAGAACTGAGAATTAATACGTCTACTTACGTAAATGTAGTTTCCACATTCTCGGATGAGGGACTCTTTGGACAAGGAGAAATTGTTTTGCGGAGTAAATGACAGTGCACGCAGCATGCGCTCAAATGTAGGTCCTGTGGTTTGTGTGGCTTAACCTTACTGGTAGTCTGTCCAGAAGATCGGAATAACGAAATATAATCCCCACATAATAATCAAATTTGTTCAATAATCCCTACTAGCGCAGTAAGAAAGGTTTGGGAGTGGTTGCCTCCCCAATGGTAGTTTCCCCAAAAGGGGGTCCCCCATATAGACACCAAAATACTATAATCCTTCTTATGGGCACGCCCAAAAAGATACTCCTAATTACCAAATAGTTTGAAAAGTCCATGAAACCTGGCTAGACCAAGCTGCCCTTGCAGGAAAATGCCCCGATGGGGCTGAAGCTGCGCTGAAGCTTTGGTCAAACATAAAGCGAAGAGTTCTTTCTGTTGCTGGAAGAAATTTTGCACTACCCTATTCCCCCAAAATACCACAATTACTTGCCTTCCTTGCCTTTCAGGAACTTAGATACCGCAAAATTCCTCCCGCCCCAGTATTCAATGCACAGCGTCCACCAGTACCGTTGTGCATGGTCCCATGGCGGCGGTTGGCACGGCCGCAATAGTATGTCCAGGCCAGAAGCGACCTTCCATTCACCCTGCTTCCTGCCATCTCCTCATCTATGGGGTCTCAAGAGCGTTTACCGGTGAGAACTGTATAGGGAGACTGTGGCGATCCACGCTAGGGATGACATGGGGATAAGGCGCATTTCTGCTCCATGGAAACGCAAGAACATGATTCGTCTTTAATGTAGCGCAGGGAAGCAAGACAAGAAATAAAGTTTATGTAAATTATTCTGCTCAAGGTAAGACTGCAGACTTGAAGAAAGCATACTGTCAACGCCCTGCACTTTACTAGTGGGAATTGCCGTGACAGAAAACAAGACCAAACCACACAAAAGTTTCCCCAGAGTTGGCCCCGCAGATACGCAAGCTCTGCCAACCTCGCATATGATAAGCGGGTGTTGGTAACCCCAACCCCCAGAAATTTGGACCCTGTAGCCATCATAGGATAGTCATAGGGTCCTATTTTCGGGTTGGGTTACCACAATCCGTTTATCAGCATAGAAGTCGCATGGTCATGGCTACCTACGATACGTCCCCAATGTTGCTTCAATTAGCGGTGGTGCCCAGTCTTATGCAATGCACGTGGGATCCAGGTGCTTGCTGCAGGGTTCCCCGTATAGGTGCACGAGGTCTTAAATGAAGCAGTCTTTTGCCTAGGCCTAAACCCTTTCATAAGCAGAAGCAAGCCTCAGGTGACATTGTAACGCCACACCATTGTTCGTCTCCCACCTTGTGAAGCACGAACTCGTAGTAGTGCCTCATCCAAACACCAACCGTGAAAAGTTTAGTTAGTCTTACCCTAAGCCCTAACCCTAGGGATCCAAGTATACAAATAATACCTACACTGGGTTCTAAAGGATATTACAAATTTTACCTACATTGGGCTATTTGGATCCCTAGAGTAAACCTAATCCAAAACTTTAAATCGTTTTGGCCATAGATATATCATATGACCCGGACCCGGCACAGGGCCTCCGCAACACATCACAACAGCCTTTCTGGCAAAAGCTGCAGGTCGGTTTAGGCATCCTGTCGTTTTGTGGTTTAAGTTTAGGGCAGGACATGGCAGGATCTATTAATGAGCGATATGAAAATCAGCCGTATACTGTGTATGCCCCCCATGTATCCATGAGACTTCTAAACCTGAAAGCTCAAAGCCCGCTGACAGCGCCCTTGGCATGTATTATCTGACCCTACACCCTATATACTATCTGAACGCAGACCCATCGCAAATGTGGTACTACAAACCACAAACAACCTTGAAGCCAAACATAGACTGCCTTCATGTCCGTCTGAGCCCTAAAACCTAAACCCTAAACAAGAACTGGCTGTTTGTGTTCTTTGTTCAAGGTGCACTCCGGAGCGCATGGGCTCACGCGTCAGGACGTTGCAGAAATCCTTGCATACCAGTCTCCAAATCCCTTTAGGCTTCTATCTGGTCGCATTTTTGGTTTGATATGGCTTTTGGGTACGGGGTTTTGGAAACCATACTTCCCCCTTTTGAGGAATATATATATATATAGTAGCGCCCAGCATAGAAGACGCTTGTGGGTTTGGCAGGCATTCGACAGGCAGAATACTCACCAAAAAGATCAAATTGAAATACTAAACCAAACACTAAACCCTAAATTACCAAACTCGGACAAGGTTCGGTCTTCAGATCAGGTGATCGCAGAATTGGACCATCAACTTCTATATTATGTTTGTCAGGATTTCCGTCATAGTCCCAACCTCGGCTGCTTCAGGGTAGAGGGTTTAGAATTTAGGATTCAAGGTTTAACGTTTACGGTGTGGTCACGGCATATGCTGCTCGCTGGTGTGGGACACACCCAGGCCGCCCGCATTGGTGCGTAACAGTCAACCCACCCCATGTCCACCCTGAGTTCAAGCAATTTACGTAGGGTTTAGTTTTTAAAGTCTTATGGCCATCCCGGCGGGGGCCCAGGCAGCGCCGACGAGGGCTGCCCTTCAATCGGGGTTCGGGCATACTGTGATGTACTTCAAGACTCTGGCCTTCTGTGAGGCTGATTTGCCGAATACTTTGACATCCAAGGCCGAAGCAAGAACCGTCAGCGGTCGCGACGACGCCCTATTGGGTTACGTCCGAGGCTGCGTGGCGCAGCCGCGCTTTCAATGGTAATGGATCAGTGTTGGCTGTCTGTGAGGCTGTTTCATTGTCAGCGTTCGTGACGCGATGTTGGCTTACTTCCGAGGCTGCATGGGACAGCCGCGCTCTCAATGGTGATGGTCAGCGCGGGCTTTCTGTGAGGCTGTTGTGTCAGGGCACGTCCACGGCCGCCTGATTACGGCAGCGCTCGTGGAAATAAACCAACATTGTGTGGCGACGGCTTGGCAAGCGGTCGCCACACGATGTTGGCTTACTTCCGAGGCTATATGGAACAGCCACTCTGTCAATGGTGATGGCGTGGCTTTCTGTGAGGCTGTTGTGTCAGGGTACTTCCGCGATCTTCCGCGGCCGCCTGATGACACGCTTTCAATGGTAATGGTCAGTGTTGGCTTTCTGTGAGGCTGTTGTGTCAGGGTACTTCCGCGGCCGCCTGAATACTGCGGCAGCCCGGGCACGATCGCAATTGGTCAGAATCGGTCTCGCGATCGGGTGCAGAATTCGTCTGAGAGACTAGTTTTGCTGTTGTTCAGGCACAATCGCAATCGGTCTGGAAACGGCAGCAAAACCGCCAAAATTGGTCCGAGAACAGCCGGAATTCGACCGATAGTGAGCCGGACATTCGGAGGCCTTGGACCTCCCTGGCAGGCGCGGGAGGTCCGGAAGGCCTAAAAGCCTTTGAGGGAACGTTTTTTGTTGGCTGCGGGGGTAGCCCCAGGCCCGCAGGCCTCGGCTCCAGGCGGTTCCGGGTTTGGGGTTTGTCCTTTATAACAACACATCCGTAGGAGGGCGCAGTCAGGGCGTCAAGGTGGCGGCAGTCGCCCAGCTTTACTTGCACTCCATGACGTTCTTTGCCTCTCGCCAAGCTCCGGCAGCTTCGGGCTCCGCGTGGCGGTTGTCGAGCCCTCAGCTAAGACTTTAGGATTTAGGGTTTAGGGTTTATGGTTTTCTGAACCAGTGATTCATTCTCAAGGTCATAGACTACCCTCGAGTACACTGCAATGCTGGGTCAGAGCATTGCAGACTCAAAATCTAAGTGAGGGACTTATGAAGAAGCAAGACGCTATTGCTGAAGCCATGATGAAACTCTACCTAGAATTCTCCCAAGCCCTGAACCCTTAACCCAACCACATTTTGGGGCTACATATAACTTAAGTGATTTCTGCCAAGGGGTCCGAGGTATATACACCCCGTACGAGATGGTTGTTTTTCCAAAAACGGGGTTCCAAAAAACATGTAATCCCACCATAGGTACCCAGCCTGCTTTGCGTAAGCCCGCCTGATACACACGGAAAAGAACGACGAGTCAAAAACCAGGAGCTTCGTGGTTTTGCGTTAGCCGGCCTAGAGCTTCAACCACACCCTCCTCTTTGCTTTTCGTGTGTGCCTCAGTCTTGGGCTGGGATGCTAGAAAGGCAACCCCCTGCAGGTTGCATTCGGTGCGCAGTCCTTGTTGCTTCTCCAGCAGGGTTGCCTCAAGCAGGGTTGCAGCCCGCGCAGGGGCTTTCCACATTTCATGCCGGTGCATTCTCAACACCAAACGTATTTGCTTGGCTCTCCGTGTCCAGGGAAAAAGTACTCTCCCTGACTGCCTCAGTTGGATTGCCGCCGGTTCCATTGCATGTCTTGCCGGGGCATGCTTCAACACAACTTTGTATGGTGCAAGCCGATACCCTGTACAGGTTGACGGGGTGCAGAGCTCTCGTTTTTGCCGCTGGCCCTCAAGCATTTCAGGGCTCCCATGGAGATCAAAATGTCCTATCCCCAGTGAAGCAAGCAACTGCCCGGCAGTCACAACAGACCCCAAACCCAAAGAAGAATCCCCAATAGAGGGCTGCATTTGCTGCATCATGGGCACCCTTTTTACCAGGCAGCCCCGCCAAAACGGTGTTCCATGCAATCCCAGAAAAATCTCCAAGAGAGGCCGCCGCCGGCTTCCATCCCCGCCCTGGGAGCAGTCTGGCCTCCCAAACCAAGCCATTTTTGTGCACCTGTGTCCTAGCTCTTCCCCCCACTACACAGCTCAGTATACGCTCGGGTACATGAACTTTCAAAAAAAAAGAGCTCCCCAGAAAGTTTCCACTAAGCCAATAAATTCCTGATCAACACTGTGTGCGCCACGTTCTTCCAGCCGTCGCCCCCCAAAATGAGCGCTCAGAGGACCCTGAAAAAAAGGGACGCTTCACAGGACCGCAACACACCCAGGAATTCCAAAATGAGGACCCAAACTGGAAGAGGACCCCAACACGCCCAGAACTCCTTCAAAAAGGGCCGCCTGCGCGACCCCAAGCCATATAGCCTCCCAAATTTAATCATTTTTGGCCACCCGTCAGACGGCCAGTACCCAGCTCACTACGTTCGGGTATATGAATCAGAAGCTCGAGAGGTCTTACATTCTTCTAAGTTTCTATCTTTACATTTAAAATGATAAGAGCAGTCCTCATGCCTTGATGACGTTACTTTTTCTTGCAGGTGAATCGAAATGTGCTTTTTCAACTTCATAAACAACGCGCTACGGTTCCGTCTAGTGTATAGACAGTGGTACAAGGCATATCTTGAACAAATCTGCTCAGCAACCACAGAGTGCTAACTCTTACTTTGAAAGCTGAAGAAATCCTGACATGAGCAGCAGTACAACACAAAAGGAGCATATCTCACGATCTGGGCGTCCCTAGCCCAATCTCTTCCAAATCTCACACTAATTTCCAGGAGAGGAGGACCCCAAACCAGGACCCACGATATTGAAAACTCCCACTTGTCATGATGGTAGACTCTAACGCTAACAGACCCAAATGGGCAAAGATTGGGCATGAGTCCCCTCATACGAGGATGCCAACCACAAAACGGCAGTGCAAAAGCAGTGCAAGAGCTGATACATCGAAGACTCCCCTGCACCTTGAACCCCAACCCCTAAACCTCCC